CAAGGGATACTTTGAATAGAGCTGCTGACAGTATAAAAGCTGCTGGGACAATTGGTTCAGTTTAAGTGGTCACAGCATTTAACGGTGTGACACACATTCTGAAGAAAAAAGTGGACACTTTGTTCCTATGCATCTGCAGCCCTTCTCCTGGTGCAGAAAAATCCCATAGATGGTTATTCAGTAGAGCATCTTTGGAAGCCCTACTGTTTCTTTTTCCTTTCTAAGCTTTAAAAATTTTTAACTTTAAGGAGTGAGCAACAAAAAAATCAAAAGATGCTGAAATTGAGTATTACTTTTCTCTTCACATAGTCTGCACAAAGAAAGGATCAGCAACCCTGATTGAATTAATAATGCATAATCAGATTCTAAGATGGAAAAGTTTTATTAGAGCTTTGAGTGAAATGGGTAAAATAATCAAATCCCTTTTGAATAAAGTTAATTATTATTGGATAACCTATCCATTTAAAATTTGATTTCTGTTGGTGTTTGAAATCAATGCCATTCACCAAGATAATATAAAGTAATCAATAGTAAAGGTATTTTTAGAAGCCTTTAAAGATGCTTAGCTGTACATTCTCAAAGTAACATACGAGCTACCAAATTATCACCTTTAATTATTAATACAATGAATGAGGGGCGATTTAAACCAGAATTTACCAAGGGTGTTAAAATGAGAGATACATATATATGTATGTTGATATATATTATATTTACATACATTCAAATTATATATATATTTAAATTAGGTTGAGAAACACCGGGTTAAAAAAAAAATCAGACACGGCCCTCTAGTGTAGAACCTTGATACTGATGGCCACCTGGGCCTCCAGGAGGGGACGTGGCCCACAGCACTCCCAGATGGCCCAGCCCACACTCCCCTTGTCTCCACCATACAGAATTTCCTGGAATTACTGCTCTCAAGAACATAAACTGATTTGCTGATTTAATGTAAACTCCAAAAGACCTTAAAATATTGGCTTAATAACTTTTCAACTTTTAAGCATCTTGTTAATCCCTGAATTCTTCAGCTTTACCTTGTTAGTGCTTAAAACGAAATGCAAAGCAAAATGGAGAGGGCCGAAGTGAGAGGCTGCTACTCAGAACTGTGCATTTCTAACGGGTAATACAGACAACGCCGTGGCATTTCCCCTAAGCCTAGTCCTTTCACTCTGCCTCCTGGAACGCGTGGGGGCTGGGGATGAGAACTGCATTTGGTTATCTTCTCCGTTGCTCTGGCACCCACGGTCAGCTTTTCAGGATGGGAGAGTGAGCATCCCCCGGAGCTCTCTCCATTCTCCAGGGATGCCCTGTCCGAAGCCCTTCCCTTCCCAGCTGTGGCCAGGACTCCCTGAGAGGAAGCCACGAGGACAGGTAAAATGCTGGGGCTCCAAAGGACTGGAAGAGCTGGGACGGGAGAGGCCGCAGACACTCCAGACGTGACAAAATCTTAGCGAGCCAAGAAGTCTCCGTGGGACAAGAGTCAAATGATGGAAACAGACAAGAAATGTCGGTGTCACATCCCAGGCAGGAGGCTGCCGAGTGTGGCCGGATGCCGTTCGCAGGTGTGCAGGGGACCCATCTCCGCAGGGAGTGCCGGCCAAAGCCCCACTGGGTGTTTGAGGCCCTGGAGAGTGCCAAACCTTATATACATTGTTTTTTCCTATGCATACATACCTATAACAAAGTGTAATTTATGAATTAGGCACAGTAAGAGATCAACAATAAAAGTAAAATAGAACTCTAACAATGTACTGCAGTAAGTGTCAGGTGAGTGAGGCCTGCCTTACCGCCCTGTCGTACCCTTATTCTCGAGATGAACGCCTTTGAGATAAGTGAGGCGAATGGCGAGGGCACTGTGACATGTTAGGCTCTTGCCGACTGATGATTTGTCAAAAGGAGGATTATTTTCTTCCCAACCACAGCTGACGGAGGGTAAGCAGAACTGTGGATAAGGGAGGGTGCTGAGTGAGACCTCAGGTCTACTCTCTGTTCTGCGGAGGGCTTGGGCCCACGTGTCCTCCATCAGTGTGGATTCATGGGAGCTTTTCCTCATTCCAGCCCTTTCTCTCTCCAGGCATCCTGCAGGACTGCATTCCTCGCACATGCGAGGTTTGGTGTGACCACTTGGCATGCTTCGGCCAAGGAAATGTGAGCATGGGGAACACAGGTCATTTCCAGGTGAGAGCATGTGGAGGGCCTCCAGCCAGTCCGTGATGGATAATCTACACAAGTGGGCAGGAAACCCCATGAGCCACTAAGCTTTAGGGGTTGTTACCTCAGGAAACCACGTGTAGTATCTTGAGCACTTTATATGTCTGCATCTTAGTTTTATCATATATAAAAGAAAATAGCAACATGTCTCTTACCTACAAAATGGTATGAAACGTTGGATGTGTTTTAGAAGAGAATTACTACACTCATCTGAAGTGTTAGAAACAACATCTTTTGATAAGTAAATATGTTTCTACAAATGTGTAGCAGTGAACAGGCTAAGACTAGGAAATTCATTTGCATTAGAAGATCAGTTTCATTCAAAATTAATCTAAATCTTTTAATTAAAGCAGTAAAGGCATCTGTATTCTTGAACTCTGATCCGGTGAACTCGCTCTCTCAGCCTCATAAATCCATGCACTGCCACATCGCACAGGAATGGGGTACTAAAGTAAGGTAACACTAAACGAGAAAAATAATAAAAATAACTCTATTCCTCTCTTTAAAAACACAAAGCCTCACAAAGTTTTCATGACTCAGGATGTCTCTGAGTCACCCTTAACACCATATTTATTTTGCAAGAATGCAAAGTCAGCTCTATTTATGCAAATAAATGTACTTCTACTTTATGTTAAGATACAACAGTTTCCTGTGTGATAAATCGACATGTTCTACTTGACTCTTGTGTTTATTTATTATTTTTACAATTTTGTTAGGTCTCTCTATTCTATAATAAGGTATCTACTGAATATGACACATTTTAAGAATTAAGATAATCCCAAGGACTCTTAAAACTTAGCTTTCTGAGAGGAAAACACTAACTTGAAAAAAGGCAAAGTGACTTTTTAACAAGTCACTTGTTTTTTGTGTGATTAGCATAAGTTAAGAATATTACTGAAACAATAATATAAAGGAATCTGTTCATCACATCCATTATTTTAACATGACATACTCCAATGTCAATGTCCAGTGAAGGGGCTAAATAGTTTCGATGATCCAGCCCAGCACAGGCACAGGCAGGAGCCTGGCAGAGATCGGAATGAATGGGGCAAATCAGTCCAGCTACTTGGAAGCTACAGTTTAAAATCAGCCTGTTTTCAAGAGCTAGTCTTAATTTCTTTTACCAATGAGGCAAAAAAGCCAAGGCCAATAATACCATATTTTCATGTTTTGTGGTGGAGAAATCTGGGTATTTACTTTGAATATTTAATTAGATTCAAAGGTATTTTTTTAGAGATAAATTTTGACTGCATGCATATTAAGGTTTTAATCTTTGTGGAGGTAGGAGAGGCCTATATGAGAAAAAATATAAACCAAGTTTCTTATTTTCCTAAATCTTGGGAGGTGGCATATCAAAGGCATACAGTAAATGTGTGAAAAACATGGAACTGCTATGAGGAGCACGAGATTGAACATATTCAGAACTCATGGCTGTTTCCCCTCTTCCTCTAGTCCCCACCAACTATATTCAATTTTTAATAAGTAGATGCAAGGTTGAAGGCACTGGGGGGAGGGGTGAGCAGTCAGACACTGATGACGTACCAAAATCCCCAGCTGCTGCCCCCTCCCAACCTGAAAAATGTGCCTTGGGCTAGCCAATCCTCGCGCTGCTGTGAATCTAAGCTCTGCCTCCCCCTACCTTCTTTAAAAATTCGCTGCCTGTCTACTTTCTCATGACTTCCCTGGCCTGTGATAGTCAGACCGCTGGAACCTCGCCCGGGGGCATTCAAATAAATTACCTGGCCCTTTGTTGCCTCTCTTTGCCTGCTTATTTCCGCTAGAATTTATCTTACAGTAGATGCAGTTAACATAGCAAATTGAGATGAATCACTTTAAGGCCTTAAACATTTTTTAGAAAAATTTTCAGCCAACTTTAAGATTCAGGGTCAGAATATCATATTGCACAAGCTGCCTTGTGTCCAGCCATGTTTTCTGATGCTTTAGATTCAGGTTGTGTGGATGAGAGGGTTTTAACTTCACTGTGCGGCACCAAATTTTTCCATTTGTGCTCCAGCATTCTGGACTAGTTTTGCTGAAACGTGTCAGTTTTCCAACTCTATGACTTTGTTTCTGCTTATTCATCGTGCTCAAATTTCTGTTGTCCTTGTTCTTGTCACCACAACCAAGTCACAGAGTCTCATTTGGCAGAAAGGGAAATAGATAATCCCCTGAAAGCAATAACCAAACAAATAAATGTATTTTTAACTGACTCTACTTGACGCAGAGCGCCATTAGCAATCACTCTTCTAGACAAAGAGTCTAAAGTCAAAAGAATAATGATTAGAACAAAAAAGAATGAAGTGAGAGCAGAGTCGGGCCATCGGTTCATTCCTCGGGCCGCGTCGGCACCGAGGCCGCGCACACGGGCCGGCACATCCCGCCGTCGGGGCCAGGCGGTCCGGTAAGGGCGGCACGGTGAGGGTGACTCAAGGGCAACACCGGAGGAAGGTCACCGCAGGGAAGGCAAGCGGGGGCCCTGCGGCCAGCGGAGGGCAGCGGCCCGCAGAGGGGCGGCAGCGTACGGGGTCCTCCGGGAGCGGGGCTCCGCGTTCTCGGCGCCGGCGGTGGTCGGGGAGCAGCCCGCGGCCTGGGGCAGCCCCTCCGGCGTCCGAAGGCGGCCGCCGCGAGAGGGCTGCGGGCCGGGGGCGCGCCCGCCTTGGCTCTGGTGTGGGAACGGGCAGAGCGGGGGGCAGCCAGGGGCAGCGGCGGGCCTGGGGCAGCGGCCCCGGAGGCGCGGCGGCGGAGGGGCCTCGGAGTCTGCGCGCGCGGCGGGCGGCCCGGCGAGGGCGCGGGCAGATCCAGGCGCAGGCCCACAGCCGACGCTGAGCGGCGGGGGGCCGCCCGGCCTGCTCCCGGCGAGGGTGCGGCCGCGGGCTCCAGGCCCGGCACCCGGACGGGCGGAGGCGCCAACATCGTAGGGAGCCCATCACAAATACTTAAGATGTGAAAACAGCAACGAGCTGACAGACGGCGAGGATGCCACACGGGCATCTCGGGGGCCCCGGCCCGCGAGGGGGCCCACCTCTGGCCGCGCGGCCTGCGTCTGGGCCCGGCCGCAGCGGGCAGACCGCCGGGGTCCGGGGAGCCCCGCGGGGGCTCCAGGCCACACCCTCCTCCAGGCTGGAACGACCCGAACCACCACCCTCACCCGGACCCGTGGCCGCCCTCTGGCGCACGATGAGCCGGTCAGCCCCTGGGGCCCGGCGGGCCAAACCGAAGACCTTTCTGGAGGAAAACATCGTCCCGCTGGGCCTCAACTTACTCTTACAGGTACTTTAAAAAATACATTTCCAGCGGTTAGTTACCTAAGCAACTAGAAAAGTAAGACTAAGCGAGAACAGACGAGTACATCAGTACAAACAAGCCTGTAACACACCCGAGCTCCTAGAATTAGCACACGCGTGAACAGCTGCATTTACCGATTCAAAGGAATGAAATCCAAGCCTGGCGATTTCATCAGGGGCTACAAACTGTGAGTGGCGTAACAGCAGCTGAGAAATATCCTTCTTCCCCCTTTCCCATCAACACTCTTCAGCCAAATTCTTACAGTTTAGAATTTAAAATTTCTGTACTCCTTTTTGCTTTGCTTTTGACACACTGAAAACATCAGAACCCCATACTGACAAGCCTGATGTGATCATATCTGTGATCCAGGCGGAAATGTGTCAGCCAAATAAAGGCTAGCCACACGGGGCATGTGTGTCCTGGGCGTGCTGAGCACCCCCACGTTTCTGGGGACACCTATGGTTTCAGCCAGGCTCACTCCTACTGCCGACAGTTCAGGGCACAGCTGGGTAAGGCAAGGACACCTGAAGCCGGTGTCACCAGGGAACATGTACCAACGTACCATCCTCCTGCAGAGGAAAGAAAATCAGCTGCAACTTCTACCACCTAGCACGTTGGTTATGAGGGCTAGAGAAGGTTATCTGTGATTTAACAAAGCTGTCTAAACTGCAGGTGAGGTATTTATACTGAAATGCAAATATTCCTGATGGACTTAGTGCACTGATTTTAAAACACTCTAGAGTCAGATTCCTTCTTCAAGATAGGTCTTGACTGCAAGAAAAGGAGAGTGCTGAGCATGAAATTCATCCTGGTCTGGGGGGAGAAGGACTGACGGGGGATGAGGACAATGGGCAGGAATGGTGGGAGGGCGCCAAAGCCGAGCCCTGCCAACTGCACATTCTGTTTGGACTTGCTGAATACCCAGTGGTTGTAAAATCAAGTGACTATCCCAACACGATGCTCATTTTTCATTTTAGAACAGTGACACAGTATATTATTTTTTCTTATCAAAACTGCATGAAAGATCCCCATTAAGTCACTCATTGTGGGTGCCTCGTTTAGCCAACTTAAGTTCATTAGACTCCAGTCTCCGACAGAGCAAAGCCCAGCCAGTTACATTTAACAACTGTTCAGTGCCACACTGTGAAGTAAGAATGTCAACAGATTTACTTTCCCCATATAAAGTAGGATTTCCAGCTCACACCATGTACTCTGTGACTATTATGGATAGTATTTATTCAGAGGAATGCTGAGGAAGTTTGGAAAAGCTGTCTCTAAAGTAGAGCCGAGAAGTCACTTGATAAAACAAGAAACAAAACCTCTACATGGTCAAAACATGAAAGGAACTAGAGTTTGTCATTCTCTCTTTTAAATAAAAGGTTCTGAACTCCTTTCAAACACAGTGTGGCCACAGCAGACTGGACGACTCTCCTCCTGCACGCTCAGGCTCTGTGTAGTCAGCACACCTCCATCTCGGAGCAAGTATCAGGTTTTTTAGAGGAAAACCTGCTTGGAATTAATGAGGCAACACCAAAAAAGCCCCCTATTAATAAGCTGTTCTCTTTCAATGGAAAGCTGCCAATTTTTTTCTCATTTGCTTCTTAAAAAACAGAATATCCTCTGAAGGTTCCTTATGCACTTTTATCACCATTAAACCACCTTTTCCCCTTTTGTTGTTTTATATTAGGAGGAGCCATCATGCCATGTGAGAGATTAACCCCATCTCACAATAATATAGTTGCTTCCAATGACATCACAGACAGTGACATCCCGTCAGTACTGGGACGTGTAACTACTGACATTACAACTCAATAAATGCAGGGTGTTTAAGGAAGGGTTAACAGAGGAAAATGCAAGAGGTGTAAAGCAAAACTCAAGTTACAGATGTGCAAGAAAAATCTCACAACTAAGCTGAAATCCTCTATTTATTTTGGCTGCACCAACCTAACACGCCAAGTATTATCGAGAAAGGCAGGAAAGCTGCAGCAGGGAAGAATCTCCAGCACTGCATTTTCATCCACACAGCGAAAAGAAAAATTCAACATTAACCTTCCCAGAGAAGCGATGTGCCTCCAGACCACCTTTTCACTTACCCTGGAGTGTGTACTCCGTGGCCTCAAGTCCTCCGATTTCTAGTACATCCAGAGCATATATGAATTCCTAGCACATTCACTTAAAGAATAAACTTAACTGAAATGTCCATTACAACAGAGATCCTAACAGAACTCTGAAATTCTAGGGAGAGACATGGATTTAAGACCCGGCTTCCAGATCTTGCTGTGCACTGTGTCTATCTTTAACTTGAAATGGCTTGGTTTCACATTCCGCTGAGGTCCACGGGCAGATGCTTTGGATTCTGGAAGCTCACCAGTGGCAGGCTTGCAAACACTGTCCTCCGCCCTCTTCCCTCCCACCGAGCTTCCACCAGGGCACCGAAGGCTGACTTACTTCTCTGTCTCTGTACCTGTTTCTGTGCGTCGGAGATGCTCTCCTTGATGGCTCTAAGGGAGACACTTGGAAGCTGAAGCTCAGCCGAGGACTCTCACGGTGCCTTTTCTCCCCGCCACCCCCTCCCCCGACTCACTGCCAGAAACCAACTGACTTCCAAACTTGGCTGTCTGAAAAAGAATGTTTTCTGATTGGCATTCCCGGGAGCAGAAGGCAACAGCTCAAGTTTTATTCTGTTACTCAGCATGAAAAACGTCCCAGGTACACATCATACAGACAAGTATGCTTCCTGGATTTTTTTTTTCTTAACTCTGAGAATAGAGCAGATACTTGGGAGCATTATAAATATTTTTGTTGTCCCACGGCATCTAAGTTTTAATATTCACAAATAATTTTACCCAAAATGGCTATGAGTGCAGTAAGAAAATGAAATGGCAAGTCTGTTGGAAGTTGGATCCCCTCATTAGTAAATGAGTTGGAACCCACTGGTGGGAGACACATCCCACTGCCTGGCTGATGGGCTTCTGGAGGGCAGCTGCCTAATCTGTGGCCTTTCTTTGAGGGAAAATCTTGTTCCCAGGAGTTGTGGAAAAACTGTTTCCAACTGTCCTACATTTCACACTATAGACAGCACGAGGAGAGGGTGCAAAGGGACTTTATCTCCCAGGCACGTCTTTTCCAGGACTGCCTTGCAAACTGTGGTAAGCTCTGGGAAATAAAGAGCATGTGTGTACAGTGACACAAATGAAGAAAAACTGAAGGGATGGAAATGAGGGAAAAACACATTTCCTCAAACAGAGCCTGACAAGGATTGATAATGTAGGGTCCCTTCACATCACTACCAATAACTTGTGTTTAATATTCATTCATTGGTTACTGGTGGTCAAAAGTTCTGAGCGTGCTGAAAATAATTCACCTCTCCATTTTCAACATGGTGTATTAATTATGTACAATTTTCAGGACCAAACAACGTCTTGAAAAGCCTGATAAAGAATTTGTGATTCTGGCAATTGGAAAGCCCCGCACCCGAGCATTCTGGGTCCCCAAAGGCCATCTGGCCGTGGCTGCCACCCAGGAGCAGTACCAGCAGGCGGCATCTGGGGCAGCCGTGTGCCTGCAGCTGCTCTGCGCAGTCCGTGCAAATGCCTCAGACACACTCACCAGCAGAAGGCCGGCTCCAAGAATGCTTTCTCCTGCTTGTTGTGGCTGGCTTTACATTTTCTGTTCTAAGAGGTCTTTTATCACATCTGAACAAAACCACAATAGGGAACTGTGAGTGAAAACTTCACTGATTGGCATCACCTTGCTGATTTATTTCAGTGGCATTTTGATGCCCCATAAAGATGGGGTTCTACCAGCATGCTTACTCCTTAACCTCTTACTAGATTCCTTTAAAAAAAGACTAAAAGGAGGAGGTAGAGAAGGAACAGACCTCCTTATTCTTATTTGCAAACTTGATTCAGGGGAATTTCAAGCTACAAGCAATGATGACACATGGGGGTGTGCAAAAGCCTGCAGAGGAAACAGAAATAACCGTGCCCCAGGGCATGCACCTCCCTGTCTCTGTTTCTTCTTCCCTCTTGAAACCTCTTCCCCAAGGCTAATGGATGGGGTAGACACACCTACAAACCTAGAAGAGTGGACGGAGCTGGCGACTGGCCATCCGGCTCACATGCAGCCCACTTCCCTGTGCGTGCTGTACTTTTGAGTGAACGTTGGCACATAACTGACACTCCAGAAATGTTTGCTTAAACTGAAGAACTGTTATGTAAAAGTATGTTTTAACATGTGGAAAATGGTTGTACGTTGGCCCACATTTTAGATAAATATATTTTACATTTATCTTAATGATTTGGGGAGGGGGAATTATTTCTTTTTTCAAGCTATTAACCAAAAGATTTTATGGAAGGTGCATCAGTACTGAGCACCTGTGTTGAAGCCCCACTGCAAAAGCAAAATCATGGTACAGTTTGTGTCACTGACTCTAAATATCAACATGGCAAATATTGCAAAGATCATTTATGTTGATCTTGCTGGCTTTTAAGAAAAATAAAGAGAAAAGGAAATGTTAGGTCCTTCTATTATTTCACATTAACTAGTAAACTATAACAATTTTCTTTATTAAATTGCGACTGGCCATTCCTTAAAGGGCAACACTCATCAGTCAAATATCCCCTTAGGTTTCCAGCTTTATCACCCCTTGTAGTCTCATCTGTGCCAAGCACGGAAATCCCAGAACAGCTGGAACAGTATCAGTAGCATTAGTCCAAACTCAAGGCCGAGCAGGAACAACGGGATTGTTTTTTCTTTTTTACTACCCTAAACTTTGGGAGGCAATTGGTAAGATTTATAATGTCTAGAACTCAGTCTGATCATGAGCAAATGTTATTTTTCTCTTTCATAAGCACTAACATAAGACTTAGGATTTGATCAGAAAAATAGCTTCTAAGGCTTGCTTCCAAGGGAAACTGGGCACGTAACAGGCAAGTCCAGTCCCTGGACTGGCCGTGAACAGCAGTACGTCTCTGCCCCCTTCTCCAGAAGAGGTCTGTATTGGCAGTCCTGTGTGAGCAGCGGGCCGCTGGCAGACTCCTAGCAGAGGTGAGTTGGGTATTCAGACTCAGGTCTTAGCGGACCTGGCAGGCACCCACAAGAATGAAGAGGCTGGTCCTTGAAAAGCAAATGTTTCCTATTTTCCCTCCCGGGCATCCTTCAGGGACTGACATGCATGGTATTCTCAGAATGATGTTTTTGCAGATGATTTTTTTTTTTTTTACTTTTGCACCATTTATGTTTTAAAAATACTGTTATAGACTGAATATCTGTGAACCCCCTAAATCCTTATGTTGGAACCCAGTCTCCAGTGTGGTGGTATTAGGAGGGGGCCCTTGGGAGGTAATTAGGTCATGAGGGTGGAGGCCTCACGAATGGGATCAGTGCCCTCATAAAAGAGCCACCAGGGAACTCCTTCATTCCTTGCACCATTCGAGGACAGGGCGGAAAGGCAGCCCTGCGTGAACCAGGGTGCAGCCCTCCCCAGACACTGAATCTATGGCTGTCTTGATCTTAGTCTTTTAGTCTTCAGACTGAGAAATAAATTTCTCTTGTTTATAAGCCACCTACCCTATGTTGTTATAGCAGCCAGAATGGACTAAGACACTATATATATATATATATATCTTTAAATGAGGTGTTTTATCCAAAGGAGTGAATAGTGGGTTTTTTCCACTAAGGAAAAAAATTGGTAGGTCCAAGTAGTAGTTCTATGAAAAGCAATTAAAATAGACACTGTCCAAGAGAAGGTAGAAGAGCCACATAAACAACACTGAGGACAGGGGCTCTAACAACAGATATGGAATTCCGGATTCCCAAACAGCAGGATGCTGTGTCTAACCTTATGGAAAGGACTGTGTGTACAAATATGCTAATTATGTCACATTCAGTAGGAACATCTGCGAACAGTGATGGTTTCAATGGCAACAGAAAGAAATGGGCTAAAAGTGACAGCATACAGAGGTACGTGCACATGGTTTCAACTGTATTAGAGTATCTGTGGGCCGGAAAAAATCCTATCAAAATGATTTATGGATACATATATACACCCCCCAAAAAATATTCAAATAAGAATAATTGCATCTTTCCTCATGTCCTCCCTCTCCTTGTCTTGGAAGGCGCTTCTCATTCTATTCTCTGGGTCTAGGATGGCAGGTGGCTTTGGGGAGGGGAGTGGGGAGGCTCTGTCAAGTGGAAAGGCACACAGGATCAGCTTAAGGGGCCTGTGTTGATTTTAGGAAAGAGCATAGAGGGAAATCCCCGGAAGAAGAGTGAGCTAAAGGAAGCAGTGAGAATGGGGGTGGGGGACAGAACCCTGACATCAGAAGTAGGGTCCAGGGTGGAGGCCAGATGGGAGCAGCTCCTCTGGGGAGGCAGCCTTGGAGCTTGGGGAGGCTGAGGGGGTTGGGAGGCCTGGCCCCAGACCTCTGGCTGGTGCTTTGTGACTTCTCATGAAGCTCTTAAGACAGGCTTTCCCTGTTCAGTATCTGCTGCTGCCAAATTTGTGTTTTGGATGCTTGATGATACTGATATGGACCTTAAATCTATAGATGTATTTGGTTACATGAAGACTTTTGAAAAGCGAGTGTTAATTGTTCTGTTGGTCATGCTTGCTTCCTCACCCTTTCACTCTAGTTCCTGTGTCACTCGCTGTGGGCGGGTGGGGCACTGTTACAGTCCCTGGGGCTGAGCACCCTTTGCAAAGTGACAAACCAGCCCAGCTGGCCTGGAACCAGGGATTCCTGGTACAGGGTGCTCAGTGCCAAAGCCAGGAACATCCAGGCAGAAAGGGTGGGCCAGCCATCTGAAACATGTGATCAGGGTGTTTGGCATTACATGTATGCTTCTAAAAAAGATTAGGTTTTTATGAATTAAGAGGTCTTTGGCCCAAGTAAACTGATACTCTGAAAATACAGGTTTCTTTTCTCCTTTACCCAATTAGACACAGAAGAGGTCAAACACCAAGATCAAACTTTCCTGTAAAACAGGAATATGTAAACTAAATGAACCTGTTTTTATAAGTTATGTTTCATATAAACATTTTTAAATTACATGTAGTTGTTTTTGGAAGATTTTGCCTTT